TTACATTTCTGTTTAGCTTTAGTTTATTTTTATTTTTTATTTATTTTTTATTTTATTAGTAGTACTTTAACTTTATTTCTACATTTCATTTATATATATATATATATATATATATATATATACATAATTTTACATATTTTTTCAAAAATTAAGGTGTGTGTGTATATGTATGTATATATATGTATGTTTAAAAACATTAATATAAAATATTAGAATTATTTTTAAATATCACAAATAAATAATTTTACAAAAATTTATTTATAATAGTTTTAGTAAACAATAAAATATCACTGTTACATCCCATACAATATCAATATTCTTGCTGTCTTATTTAGATTTCAATTGAAATATGACAGATTTTGGTAATTAATCATGTGCATGTAAACATGGTCACTGACCCACACCAATCCACCCACATTACACAAACCTAAACAAATCCAACAACCCCCAAACCACTGCAAGCAAACTCATTATCCACCTTAACATCATTCAGGATCTGTAAGTGGCCCCTTAAAATGTACTAATAATGAAATTACAGACTAGTTCACATGAAAATTGGATGGCCGCTCTAAAAACAAGCTTTCAGGCTAATCAGCCGAGTCAGTGACTTTCTCGCTCTCAATTACCTGATCACTCGAGTCTAGCAGTCAGAAGACTCAGTGAAAGTTACCTTTGTCCAGTTGTTCCATTTGACTTAACTCTTGTGAATGGACAACCTCTGCACAAAGGCAGTTCTGACACGGAGAGACACATTAAGGAGTATGAACTGGGGACTTTGGTAACATTCATATGAGTGTCTAATTTAATCAAAACCCCAAAGAAATACCCTTGCATTTCACTGCTAGCCATAAGTATGATCATGCTTTTTTAGGATGACTACATTTACAATACAAATTTGTCTGCAGGTGGAAGCAGGTAATGCTTTGCATATGATTTTTAGGAATGTTTTCACTACTGGAAACAATGCAAGGCATTCAGTCAGGAATGATAATGTTAACCGTCACTGCCAGTGACCATTACAGCTACAAATGTTCAGTTTGTGTAGAACCTGAGTCCTGGATTTGATCAAATGAATTATGATTACACTTAGCTATCGGCATTGTCATGTATAATTATTAGGCATATTTGTGACATAAGTAAATGTGGGTGACCAAGGTGCAACACAGTGAATACACAAGCCTAAACCAGTCTGTCAGCATGCCTGTAAAAGAGTGTGTGATGTGTGAGGTATCTCAAGAACATGCATAGAGTTTATGATGTGTTTATGAAATGGCATAATGTAATAATTTCTATTTACCTGCCGCTTTTTAACTACAGGAGCAATATCCAGTGTCTTGATGAAGACCACAATATGCTAATGAATAGACATTGTCTAGGCAAATAATATAATTTAATAATATGATAAAAAATAAAAGTTCTCACCTGTGCATGTCAAGCCACCTTGAAAGATATACGAGCAGCACACATCGCACCAAGCGTACGTCGCGTCTTCACAAAACGTGTGTCCTTCTCCTTTCTCCTCTTTTACGCGCGGGTCTTTGGCCGAAGGTTCGAATATCGTCCTCACATCTGGGGGTTTGAAGCCCCTCTTTCTAGACCGCTGTCCACCGTTCTCTGCCGCCTTGGGCGGCGCGTCGCTTTGCGCGGGGTTTGGAGAGACGCGCGGTCTCTGGGGAGACGGAGCTCTCCTCACCGCCTTCAGCTTGGCGTTGCGCATTCTGGATTTGGCTTTGGGTGAATTCTTCTCCATCGGCTCAGCTTCTTCCACCCGAAAGGTGGGTAATCGGTTCAGCTGAGGAAGGTCTAGCGGCGAGCCGACGGCGCAGTAGCGCGGAGGTGAGTACTTCCGGTGATGCATCATGACTCGTTACCGAGTGCGCCGGAGGAAACACGCAAACACCTGTAGATCCGAGAAGCCTGTTCGTGGACGTTTGCGATAAGACATTTCTCAGTCTTCGAGAGGATTTCACCGAGGTTTCTCTAAGACGGAGGAGTAGCGCTCGAGCAGGTAAGACAGGTGCACACAGCGCGTCTCATGTTTCACCTGAGCACACACCCACAGTCTCTGGTTATTAGATCAATTACTAGAAGCAGGGTTGTTACAGTAACAAAAACTATATATATATATATATATATATATATATATACAGTATTCGATATGATATACTGTTCGATACAAGTTCGATATGATAAACTAATAATAATTAGCTTAGGCTCAATTGATGGCTTTATTGATGCTTCTAAAGCTTTCCATAAAGTTAATCATCAAAAGTTGTTCAGTAAACTAAGGGGCGTATCTAATAGCATATTAAGGATTTTGACATATTGGTACACTAATCAAAGTATGCAGATAAAGTGGGGTAATTGGAGTATGTAATGGAGTGCGGTAAGGAGGTCTACTTTCACCAGCCCTTTTTGATGTCTGTATGAATGAATTGTCAGAAGAATTAAGTGACTGTAGGACTGGAAGTATGCTTGGTAATACATAGTCAATCACTATGTATGCTGATGATCTAGTTGTTATTTTCCCCGAGTAGTGTTGGTTTTCAACAGTTGCTTAATATATGTTCTGATCATGGGATTAGATATGATGTGCAGTATAATACAAAAAAGAGTGTTGATGATATGCAGAACCAAAGAACATAGAGATCTGAATTTCCCAGATTTTTATTTATCAGGGCAAGTATTAAATGTATGTACCACAGCAAAATATTTGGGTCATATCATTAACAATGAAATGAGTGATGATGATGATGATCATGATGATGATAAGTTATATGCTCATGCAAATATGTTGTGAGAAAATTGAGGATCAAAGATAAACCTTTTTAGAGCATATTGCACATCTTTTTATACTGCTCCTTTGTGGGTTAAGTTTAAGAAAGAGAGCCTATGTAAGCTTCAGGTTGCGTACAATGACTGTAACAATGAAATGAGTGATGATGATGATGATCATGATGATCATGATGATGATAAGTTATATGATAAGTTGGTGAGAAAATTGGATATTTGAGGATCAAAGATAAACCTTTTTAGAGCATATTGCACATCTTTTTATACTGCTCCTTTGTGGGTTAAGTTTAAGAAAGAGAGCCTATGTAAGCTTCAGGTTGCGTCCAATGACTGTATGAGGATCCTGCTGAAAAAACCAAGAAGGAGCAGTGCAAGTGATTTATTCTGTAAGGTAGAGTACAATCATTCTCTGCTTTAATGAGAAATTTGATGTATACGTTTATTTGTCAGTTGGACGATTCACATAATAATATTATAATGTTGTCAAATCCTAGGCTTACTGAAGTGCGATATCAGTCCCCTATGAGGAAGTATTGGTATAACTGTCTTTTTTAATGTGTATTTTACTGGGTTGTATTGTGTGTTTCTTGTTAATGGACATAAAGTGGAACTAATGGAAATAAAGTTGAACTAATAATAAACTATAATAAATGCTAACTCAAAATATATACATACAGGTGCATCTCAATAAATTAGAATGTCGTGGAAAAGTTCATTTATTTCAGTAATTCAACTCAAATTGTGAAACTCGTGTATTAAATAAATTCAATGCACACAGACTGAAGTAGTTTAAGTCTTTGGTTCTTTTAATTGTGATGATTTTGGCTCAGCCCCTACCAAGTATTGAGTACATGTACGTAAATGAACATACTTTCCAGAAGGCCAATAATTCACTAAAAATGTTTTTTTTATTGGTTTTATTTTATTGGTTTTTGTTAAATGTGAGCCAAAATCATCACAATTAAAAGAACCAAAGACTTAAACTACTTCAGTCTGTGTGCATTGAATTTATTTAATACACAAGTTTCACAATTTGAGTTGAATTACTGAAATAAATGAACTTTTCCACGACATTCTAATTTATTGAGATGCACCTGTATATTAAAGAAAACTTAAACCTACTGTATTATTATTATTATTTTTTAATATTTAGGCCCTAATTTGTTCTAAATTAACAAAAAATAATATAAACTAGATAAAACTGACAAAAACCGACAAAATTATTAAATGAAAATGCTATACACACACTGCATATTATATATATATATATATATAATATGAATGATTAGAATGATAGAATGATTTCTTAAGGATCACGTGACACTTTATACTGGAGTAATGACTGATGGAAATTCAGCTTTGCATCACAGAAATAAATTATATTTTAAAGTATATTAAAATAGAAACCCATTATTTTAAATTGTAATCTTTCACAATATTGCGTTTTTTTTCTGTATTTTTGATCAAATAAATGCAGCCTTGATGAGCATAAGAAACTTATTTAAAAAATATTAAAAATCGTACAGATCCCACATTTTTGCCCGGTAGTGTGTATGTATATATTATTATTATTAAAAATGATAATAGTATCTTGATTCTACTAGAAATGATTAAAAAATTATTCTGACTAGAAATGATTGTAGATTTAAACCAGAAGATAAATCGATGACCTTTAATTGATAAAATTAATACACTATATGGCCAAAACTATGCAAACATTCTCTTCTAATTAACATATATGTCTATTCCAGTCATTTCTGCAGTAGTTAGATTTATGCTGGAAGCCTGTTATTTAGAAGTGGGTCCACATACTTCTATAATACTTCTATAATACAGTAGTAGTTAAGAAAAAAAAGAAAGAAAATACAGACAAAATGACTGAAATGTTCACAGTTATTTTAATGTTATAACAATGTAGCTATCTCATTCAATTACAAAAATAGTTTACAAGTGGAGCTAAACATGTAAACATGTATAATGCTGGTTTTCATAGAACATGTACCTTTGGTGTAATGTTTTGAGGCAGTAACCGTAGCACTTTCAGTGAGGTATGGTTTACAGACATACGTTTGGCACGATGAACTACCTCTTTTTCTCTCTTGGATGTTATGAGGATGTAGTGGGGGACAAAAACAAGCTATATCCCTGCTGGTTCACTGAAGGAAAAAAAAAAATCACTTTTTTTTTTTTTTTTTTTTTTTTTTTTTAAGTACCTGTGCCCCTGAGAAAGTTTTGTAATGTGTGGAGAGCATCTCTTCTGCTCACTGGACTTCGTCACCAACTTCTCCCTGTGAAGGGGGGAAAATGTTTCTCTGTGTTATTAGGCCAGATGTCATTGTTGTGAATAAGTGTGCTGTGATTGAGACACTTACATTGCCTGCATGCATGTTTCTGTTAATCCACGTGGAGTATTTTTCCTGTAGATACTGGGCACCTAAGCCCAGCACGTAGGTCATCGGATGGTAGTGGATGCCAACAAGCTGACTGGTGGCTTCACAGACCAGAGCCACATTGACTTTCTTGTCTTTCTGCTCTGGAGGCAGATCTGGAGAGACACTTCCACAGAAAGCTTCCATCACTTTCTTGAAGAAGCCGTATGTGAGAGAGGACTGCAGCTTCTCATGTAACACCTTGTCTTCCTTAATCTGCAGCAAAGACAGGACAAAATAGATGTTTACAGTATATAGCATGTTTGTGACTGCAAATGTCTATCTTGTTTCAGGACTAACATGCACTAATTCTATTTTTGAATACCCACAAATTTGGTATTCAAAAAGCATAGTTAACCATATTTTTATACTATTATATATTTTTTTTACTATAAAAAAAGCAATAAAAGGAATATTTAATAATTTAAGGATATTATAAGAACATTTATTATATATATTATATATAATATATTATTATATAATTTGTACTGGGGAAAATCACATTGAACTGCACAATAGAAGTATTTTCATTCGTAACAGACTTTTGGACTTTATATTGGAATATTCAGTATATTATTTATATCATTTAAAGTCTGTTACGAATAAAAATATTTATATTGTGCAGTTCAATGCAATTTTCTCCATTACATATTATATCAACAGCATAGTGTCAGCAACAAACCATTAAAAACAAGAATATTTAACAGTTACAAAGTTAATAATATATATATATATATATATATATATATATACACA